TCTCCAACCAATGGCGTGCAGGAGGCATGGTAACCTTAGCCTCCCATTTTCTCCTCCCTCTCCCCCCCTCCCATTCAGGGCTCTGACCAGTCAGTCTCCTTTGATTATCAGTTGCCAGCAGCCCTTCTCCTGGCTCCTTGACACGAGCTCCATATAAGGCAGCGATCTCCATAGAAACGTGTCAGTTTCAATAGTAGTGTCAAAGTTCACTATATACAGACATTCGCGCAGATCCCCCTTTCGGAAACATTGCTCTGCGAGTCCTCCCGATTAAACGCATTCAATTTTGGGATCTCTCTCTCTCTCTCTCTCTCTCTCTCCCTCTCTCTCTCTCTCTCTCTCTCTCCTCTCCTCCTCCTCCTTCTCCTCCTCTTCTGCCTCTCTCTTTCTCAGTCTCTCAATCTCTCTTCTTTCCCTCGCTCTCTTCTCTCCTTTTTCTCTTTTCTTACATATCCTCTTAGTTGTTTCCCCGTATTCTTTTTCTCTCTCTCCTTTTTCTCCCTCCTTCTTGTCTTTTTTACTCCATTCCTGCAGAAGAGAGAGGGCTAAACTTAAAAAAAAAAAAGAGGAGGAGGAGGAGGAGACACCCCCTTCGTATTCTTCTTATCGTTATTTTATACATATATGATTTTTTTTGGAGGGAGGGTGTTGGTTCCCGGCTGAAGAGCACTTATTTAAAATACTAAAAAAAGAACATTTTTGGGCGATCTCCAGGGTTTTTTTAACTAGCTCTGTGTGTTATAGCAGAAGAAGCAGAAGAAGGAGCAAGAAAGAGGAAAAGAAGAGGATTATTTATTCGACCTACTTTGGATGTCTCTCTCGCTTTTTTTTTTTTTTTTGCAATTCTTTTTCTTCTGAATTTTATTTTTCCTATTTCGCTGTGAACTCGTCGCCGGCGTGAATTATCTCCTATTTTTCTTCTTTTCCATCACCTCCCCAAAGAAGAAGGCAGTGAGAGCCCGGCGCCACCGGCACAACAAAAAGAGCAAAGTGTGCGATCCTCCTCGCCCGCCGCCTCTCGCTTTCCAGCTCTGCCTTCCTGAATGGCTGGCAGCGTCCGGCCCTGGACCTGGCCCCCCGACACCAGCGCGCCCTGATCTCCGCCTGCAGCCTTGCCCCGCGCCCCGCTCGGCTCACCGAACTCCCCTCCATCTCGAGCCCAGCGAGGGCTCCTGCCGGGACAGCGGCGGCGGCGCGGGCGGCCCCCGACCCGGGCTCGCGCTCCGGCGGCGGCCCCGACTCCAGCTCGGACTCCGGCCCGGGCCCCGGCTCCTCCAGCGGCGCTCGCCGCTGCAGCTGAGGCGGGGGCTCCAGCGGCGCCTTGATCCCCGACCTCCTTCTATTCCACCCATGTTACAGCCAACGCTTTGGTGTTTTCATTTAAGTAGGTTAGTAATATCAAGCTCACATTGAGTATCTCG